TGGTTTTGGTTTTTTGGGGTGGGTTGGTTTTTTTTTTGTTTTTTTTTTTTTTTTTTTTTCTATGCAGTCCAGATCTTGTATTTTTCAGTTCAAACTGGTCACTTCAACTGAAGCCCCCCCGTGCGGGTGATTTACTAAAGAGAATAAAGATCACAAAGTGATGTGTGTATTTTTTAATACCTACCTTCTCAGCCTGGTTCCGTATTTTTGGCGCAGGGTGCGGGAGGCCCTGGGCAAGGGGGGGAGCGCTTCCCCCCGCCCCTCCCCAGCTTTTTATTTTTATTTTTTCTTCCCCCTTTCATGGATTTTTCCTCTTCCCGGCTGCGGCACCGGGATCCCGGCACAGGGACGTCGTCGCCATCCTTTTCCCTGTCCCATCCCCGCGCCGGGGACCCCCAGCCTCCAGTTCTCTGCCTCCTCCTGCGCTGTGCGGAAAAATCCGCAGGGAAGCAGGGCTCCGTGGCGCGTAAGGGAGACTTGGGAAGACAAACGCCATCGCTCCAAACGTCCCCCCTTCTTCACGTAGCTTTATGTGCTGAGCACGACGTCGTATAGAGTCATAGAGTCGTTGAGGTTGGAAAGGGCCTTTAACCCCGTGATAACCGCCCGCTTCTCCTTCTCGCCCCCTTCCCGCAGAGCGGCTCCGGGCAGCGCAGCCAAGGCAGCTCCATCCCCCAGAAATCCCAGGCCAACAAGTCTGCCTACAACAGCTACAGCTGGGGCACCAACTGAGGCCGGGGCGGCCCTGGCCCACCACTTGCTTCCGGAAGAGAATCCCACCGAATGCCGAAGGATCCCGGGGAGGAGAGCGCCCTGCCGCGGGGCAGCGCCCGGGCCCTGCAGCCCCCGGGCAGGGCAGGGCGGGCGGCTCTGCGTTCTCTCTTCAGCCACCTTTCCTGTTGTATGTAATATAGAATTTGTATTTTTTTTTTCTTTTTGTTTTTCGTTTTGGGTTTTTTTTTTTTTCCTCCCCCCTCTCCCTCCTCTACTTTTTCTTTTAACAGTAGCTGTTATCCACTCACGTTTTACAAATGCTGCTGTAAATCTTAAAACCTCATACAGAAAAAAAAAAATACCTTGAGCAGCATGAAAGCATAACCAACTTACAGGCTCACGTTGGAAATGTAAACTTACACTTTATTTCACAAGGTTTACATTCCAAACTGAAGCTAGAAAATGAAGAAAAAAGATTTTCAGGGAAGAGAGAAAAGCAACGCAGGGAAGTTGGGTCCCACTGCAAAAGCAAAAGCAAAAGCAAAGCAAGCTGAGCCTGAGCGATGAGAATGACAAACATGAAGGTTCATTACAAATCAAATACCTGGCACGACTGCTTCAAATGACACCTGCTCACCTTCATAGTAACCAAAAAACTGGCACAAGCAGAGGAAAGCTGATAATATTTTAACTATATATTCAGGAGGACGAGGAAAGACTCGCAAAGGGAGACGGAATAAGGACAACAGGAATAAAACTGCGTGACAGCGGGTGCGATCTCCACGTTCATTACCAGCAAAGGAACTAAAGCGTTAAGCCGGACGAGGACGTGGCAATGCCGGGACCGTGCCACGCTCGTCGCTGCCAAGCTGGCTGACAGACCCATACTTGTAACC